ATATATTATTATTAGAATTTATAAGTTCACAATTTTCAATTTACGAAAGACATCTATCAAGTCATTATAGGAGTCTCGGAGTCAACTGAAGACAAGCAGGTCTAATCAAAGTTGATTACTAAAAGCTTGCGCGGAAATTCCTTCCGCTCCCCCATGACCCCAGGTACGGAACGAAATCTGGAGAAATGGAAACGCTTTGATTTCCGTTCGGTTCTCCAGCTTTTTGTCTCCAATAATGGAATGAAACGATTAACCAATGGCTCCTACACAACACTAACTCATTCGGTGGTTATTGTGACTGTGAGATATTATCACCGAAATTTCAATCATTTTATCGGCGATTAATCTTAAATGTTTAACTACGTAGGCACCTTTTAACAAGAAGCCTCAAAGATCGCGGGAACAATGCTACGAAACTGCGGAGACCGAGGTTACGTTAACCCGATCGACCGAGAAAGGTTTGAAGGCATACAGCCATACCAAAGCAGAAAATACGATGGAGAAAAGGAAAACTATATAGTTAGGTATGTAGTATAGCGTTTCCTACCTGTACTCTGATGCCATGGGTTAGGAGATAGGGAGGCTCCGGATGCACTTGATAAAACCAACGTGATGTGTGCCTGGGTAGAACGGCTACGAACCTTATCTAACTTATCAATTACATCTATCTTCCGAGGGAGGCTCGGGAGGTAGGCCCTCGACTATAGGAGTATCTACATCAATGGTTTGGATCAGATTTATCAAGGATATGAGGATATACTTTCCCATTCCGTTAAGATCCCGGCACTAGTAGCAGTAGAGATCTCCGTGAATGAGGGGTAACCTTTGACTCCCTGAATGTAAAGGGTGACATATTGGTGATCAGTACTAGGTCCCCACCTACCCCAGTGCGCTACCCTCTCAGTACATGGAATATCAAACTCCAGCCAGCTTACTGCTTCATAGGAACCTAGGAACCTAGGTAACACTAATCATCAGTTGATGATTTAAGGGCATGCGGAACTTTTACTCGTACTATAGTTGGTACTTATAGTTGTATCAATGGATTAGTGATGTTGGAAGAAGTGAAATGATTGGATGATATTGAACGATATTACAAAATCACGGCTTAAGAACTACCTAGGTAACCCTACCCCTCCAATGCCACCGAAAGTGTGGAGCATGAAGCGCGCACTAGTTAGTCGAGAGGTGGGTAGGTCAACACCTCGTACTTTGTCGGTCCAGCAACAAGAGATGGAGTTTGATACGGAGTTTGTTTTCTCAGCCTCTTGATAAGTTGGGAAGCTCTTGGAAACGAATGAGGGCGGCTAGATTCATTTACATTCCTCTCTTGGTCCTGATTCTAGAAATACAAAGCATGCAATAGGGTGAAATGTGGAAATACATGCAATGGTTTGGGACTCGGGAGCTGCATGTTATAGACACGTTCCACTCAAGCTGTCGGTACCTCCTTCAAAGACAGCAATAGCAAATCAGTCAATCTCAACCTCCATGGGATACGACCGCCCAGGAGCTACCACTACCAGCCTACTACGTTACCTAGACATACCAGTCTGGTATCTCCATAGCTCCCTCATAAATATTGCCAAGATAACATTTAAATCCCCACCCCGCGTCTCACCAGTTTTACTAATCGCAACAAGAAACCTTGTGAATACCTACATCGTACTAGTAGCGTACGTAGATATTTGCCGAGCATTGATGCCACCACCCCTTCCGCCTCCTTCCCTTCAAGGTTGCTTTCGGATTTTAGATATCCTTAGCTTGGATCTACTCGTACACTGTAATTAATAATTCTCTTGAAAGGAGGCAATTGTCCATTCACTACTACTTAAACCCATTACCCGACCCCTCACCTCGTCTGACTTTCCGTCTCTTTCTTTCATTCCCCATCAACTCTTCACACGTCAAACAAATCGATTCACATATCACAACATATATACACAAAAACAACTACTTTCATCGCGCGTCACAATCATATACCCATCATGACTTCAGTTCAACTCAAAACGCCTCTCACCGGCGAATATACTCAACCCACAGGATTGTATGTTGCTATCCAAAAATTCCCATTATTTACCCCGCACCCCTCACCCGGAACAAGACATCAAACAACAGCTAACAGTATCTTCTCACAACAGGTTCATCAACAACGAATGGGTTAAAGGTGTTGATGGAAAGACTTTTGAAGTCATCAATCCTGCCACTGAAGAAGTCATCACTTCCGTACACGAAGCCACCGAAAAAGATGTCGACATCGCCGTCGCAGCTGCACGAAAAGCATATGAAGGAGAATGGAGAAAGGTTACACCTGAAGGTCGTGGCAGATTACTCGCCAAGTTAGCAGACTTGGTTGAGAAGAATGCCGATCTATTGGCAGCCGTCGAATCATTAGACAACGGAAAGGCAATTTCAATGGCAAAAGGTGACGTTGCCGCCGTCGCTGGATGTTTAAGATACTATGGTGGCTGGGCCGACAAAATTGAAGGAAAGGTCATCGATACCGACCCAGAATACTTCACATACACAAAGCAAGAACCAGTATGTCAACTCCTAATTTGCAGGTAGATAAAGTTCAATTGCTGATATTTCTCTAGATTGGTGTTTGTGGCCAAATTATTCCATGGAACTTCCCATTACTCATGTGGTCATGGAAGATTGGTCCCGCTGTAGCAACTGGTAACACCGTCGTTCTTAAGACCGCCGAACAAACCCCTCTCTCCGCACTTGTTGCCGCAAACCTTATTAAGGAAGCCGGTTTCCCTCCAGGAGTTGTTAACATCATTTCGGGTTTCGGAAAGATCGCAGGAGCTGCCATCGCATCTCACATGGATGTTGACAAGGTCGCTTTCACTGGTTCTACCGTTGTCGGTCGCCAAATCATGAAGGCTGCTGCTGGATCCAACTTGAAAAAGGTCACACTCGAACTCGGAGGTAAATCGCCAAATATTGTCTTCAACGATGCTGATATCGAGAACGCTATCTCCTGGGTCAACTTCGGTATCTTCTTCAACCACGGACAGTGTTGCTGTGCTGGTTCAAGAGTTTACGTTCAAGATGGTATCTACGACAAGTTTGTTGAGAGATTCAAGGCTCGTGCCATCGCCAACAAGGTTGGAGACCCATTCCATCACGAAACGTTCCAAGGTCCACAAGTTTCCCAACTTCAATATGACCGTATTATGGGTTATATTGACGAGGGTAAGAAGTCTGGTGCCACCATTGTTACTGGTGGTGAGAGACATGGTGATAAGGGATACTTCATTCAACCCACCATCTTCTCTGATGTTACTGAAGATATGAAAATCATGCAAGAGGAGATCTTCGGGCCTGTCTGCTCTATCGCCAAGTTCTCTACTGAGGAGGAGATTATCAAGATCGGTAACGGCTCCAACTACGGTTTAGCCTCTGCCGTCCACACTCAAAACCTCAATACTGCTCTCCGTGTATCCAATGCTCTCAAGGCAGGCACAGTCTGGGTCAACTGCTACAACATGCTACACCACCAAGTACCATTCGGTGGATACAAGGAATCCGGCATTGGACGCGAGTTAGGTGAAGCAGCTTTGAGCAATTACACACAAACCAAGTCTGTAAGAATTAGATTGGGTGATGCTCTCTTCGGTTAAGGATTCTTTAATCAAGCAGATAGTATTTTAATTTGTACAATTTTGGGGTTCTCGTGGCGATATGAGCCTGGTTTCGGTTCTTCGGTAGTATTAGCGTTTATGAATGAATTACATGTCCATGAAATCAAAAAGATCATTCTTTTTCACTTTTCCTATAATGTCAACGTTGAAGTGTGTGTTTCCGTACAGTAATGCCCCGATGTTCTATTCCACAATTTACACCAGACAAGCGACATGATATATGACGAAAATAATGCCGATTTGAGACTTGTCAATATCCCCTCGCGGTCGCTTATCATGTCAGTAGAACTCTGAAAGTAATTAGCATGTGCGTAGAGCATGCGATTGCGGGTGTCAACGTGTTTAATCTTGTCTCCAGTAGGAATATGCCTTTTCTATTCTAGTATGGAATTTGTAGCTTTTGGCGGATTTAATATGAACTGCATGAATCGAGTGCTTGGTAAATTCCGTGGGTGTTGTAGATGCGAGAGAATTTTCGCGGCATCAACCAGAGCTTTTTTAAGCTTTGAGCTTCAAAGAACCCCGCTCCTCAAAGGAATTCCGGTATGACGCCAAAGGCGTTCAAACTTCACATGCTCTTATGCCAAGCATATACAATGCACTGCATAAGTAGGTAAGCTTCGATCATATATATATATCACATAACGCATCTTCTACCAGATATGCATTTAGACGGTCCAGCCACAAAACGGCTGTAAGGGCTCTCGAGGGGCTGTAACCATAAGAAGCTCTGGTCAATGTCCGAGAGCTCCTGCATTCTCAAGCCGGTCCTTTGCAGGAACGCTACACACCTCGTTCATGAACCATCCAGTCAATTATAGCCAATCGGTAAAATTCATCGTGTGCTTGTTCTTTGGTTGCATAAATCTATCCTCAATTTGGTCATGAGGTAAGGATGAAAGCTCGAATAATTTCCAGTAGCTCAAGTGAGCATTTGAGAGGAATACCAATCGTGAAAGAAAGTCACCAAGTTGGCACTTAAAGTTTGGAGCTTCTATCGCAAGGTAGTTGTGTATAAGTGAACAGCTTGTCGTCATTTCTACCAGATCCTCAGAGCATTCAAACAATGTACTGTGTGTATAGAGGTATAAATGAGCGCGCAATTTCTTGAGTACCGAATATTACCATCCTCTACTACATACAATCCCAAATATTCTTGACTTCGTATTGTCATTCTATGCCCTCTCAACTCATCATCTCATCAAAAGATATACTTCGCCGCGAAAGTTGTGGCCAACGAAGCTTTGAATTTACCCCGCATTCCCTACTGCATCCAGCTCTTGAAGCTTGTCGCGAACTCGTTTTGAGAAGCTTTGGATGAGAGAAAGTCTTTCGCACAAAGGAATGACTCGAGGTGCTGAGAGAAATGACATAATCCACAACTAATGACGGCATCATCACAGCTTATATCTTTTGTTCGAGTACTCGGCACGAGAATTGAGAGCGTTCTGGAAGGAAATTTTTCAAAGCTTCATTCTTCACATAAATTTTTGATTTTTAAGATTACCTTAGATGCGACTTTGAACTCCAAACACTAATTGGCACATTGAACCTTCATTACCTGCCTAGAATCACTATCAAGATGGTTTTGGTATCTACTCTATTGATGCTCTCCATGACTTCACTTGCCATGGCTCAGTCAAACATGGTACCCATAACATGGTCTTCCATTGTTTATATATATTATGGGGAAATCACTCCTACGATGATCAATGTCACTTCTCCTGTTCTTACACCTCTGGGCGCTACTCAACTCTATAACTCGGGATCCATCATCCGCGATCGTTACCTAAACTCCACCTCAACACAACTCACTGTTGGACTACCCGTCAACGGCCTAAGCGACCAATATATCGTCAATAATCAATTACAAGTGTGGACTACAAGTGACGAGTACATCGTTGGGAGTGCGCAAGCTTTTATGCAAGGACTTTATCCTCCCGTGAACGGAGTACAAGGAACAGATAGTGTATGTTTCATATCTCAATCTGCTCTTATTTCTATATCTCCCTATCCCTCAGTCCTACGATATCAGTTTATCATTGTCTATTATTTTTGTAATACGGGTCATTACTGATATGAAGACGTGTTGTGATGATAGATTCTAGCCAATGGCTCCGTCGTCAACTATCCTCTGGGTGGTTATCAGTATCCAAATATTCAATCGCTGAGTTCAATGGATTATAATTATATTTGGTAGGCCTCTCAATTTTTGGTTTACAAATCGTCCTTATCATCTATGGAATATCTGCTGATACTCTGACAGGATTGCGGGGAATGACCAATGTAAAACCTACGACATTGCAACAAAATTTACGAAGACATCCCCAAGTTCAGCCTCTATGGTGGCTAGCACTGATGAGTTTTATCTCTCTCTTGCAAACACCTTCTTCGCTGGCATCGATAACTCTCTCCTTAATTATGGCAACGCAATCAACCTTTATTACTATGCACTTTACCAATATAATCACAACAACTCTATTTATGGTATGACCAATTCATTTGGTCTTCTGGAGACTTTGAATGGGATTGCATCAGAACAGGCTATCTCTTTTAATACACCTAGCACAGGACCCGGTATTCAATATATAGCAGGTCAAACTTTTGCCTCCAAAATTATTCAACAATTTCAGCAGACCATTTCGAGCTCTGGAGTCAGCGACAAATTATCCCTTTACTTTGGTTCCTACGAACCAATGTTAGCATTTTTTTACCTCTCATCCCTCTCAACTTCAGATCTCACAAGGAAACGTTTCTCCAGATTGCCAGAATATGGAAGCATGATGGCCTTTGAGCTGTTCAGTTATGTTGAAGAATCACAACACAATTCATCCAAGTCATTCCCAGAATCGACTGAATTATGGGTTCGGTTTTTATTCAGAAACGGAACCTCGAACACCGACCCTTTGATATCCTATCCCCTTTTCAATCTCGGCAATTCGGAAATCGACATGAAGTATAATGATTTTGTCACAGAAATCGGAAAGTTTGCCGTAAATGATTTGAACGCCTGGTGCAGCTCTTGTGCCTCTATCTCATTATTCTGCGCGGCCATTCTTCGTAATGAGTCTTCGAATTCAGCCTCAAACAACAATAAGACTTTTCGTTCAAAGGGTGTCAACGGTGTAGTTGGTGGCATTATTGGGGCAGTTGTTACATTGGTAGTCGTAATGCTTATTGCATTAATTCTCGCAATCTTTGGGTTCAGAATGCACCATCGTGAGAATACAATTTCCAACGCCGCAGGTGGTGTTGGGGTCCTAAAATGAGGCTCTTCCGCGGGCGGGGGAGGGTTTAAAGGTCCTGAGAAACTCGCGTCCGATACAGATCTCAATATAGTCAAAGGACCTGGTGTTAGTGCTACCACGAAACACGAAAGAGTCGGCAGCTGGGAAATGGGTAATGCACCTACGAATATAGCCAACAGTAGTGAAGTAGCTGGACTGAGACAGGAAAGAGTAGTGAGTACCGCAGATTATAGCAGGAGAAGCGAAGACGGAATCGAAAACCATGATCCTTGGGGGAAGGGTATCCAGGGTGAGGATTACGTTTAATGTATGGTAGTGTTTTATGCAACCCAGTCACGAGAGACCTTGTTCTGTATCACACTTGCCTTTGCCAAATGGTGGTGTTTCACGCATCTTGATTTTAGAAGCGAGTTGAAAGCGGGCATAGATAAAGAAATAGCTATGGTGGCCTAACAATAATCAGGTAAACCAAAGATGTTGGATAATGTGGTTTGCAGGAGACAAATATTACAGGCCAATACAACACCCTTGATTTTCAGAAATCGAAGTACAGTATGGTGAATTTGCCATCTTTATGATATGCAATTTTATCAAGTAATGATCAAACTAATACCGACACTGTCCACCCGTATATTCCGGTGTTATTATTTTACACCTTTGTGCATATCACGATGGCCCTTCCCTCAAGGTAGTTATGTCCGCTGGAGCCCAATTTCTACAGCTTTTCAGTATGGATATCCCCCCTTCCCCGAGTAAGACGAAGAAGAGTCTTTGTATATTGCGCTGAATTGAAAGCTTCCAACTCCCAAGGACCATAAACTGACCTTCCTGAGTTTAGCTTTCGATTTTTCTTTGTAATTCGATGAGCAGGGTGAGTCCTCACCAGAAATCAATTTATAATTGATATATAAGAGCCAAAAGCAACAGGTAAAGTAATGAAAAGGGTGCCAAGAGCAATCTGATACTTTTGAAACATGCTTGCGACCGGGAAATATTCCGCCCGTTCTGACATTTGCAACCGCTAGTTGTATCGTCACTTCCTCGAAGCGCGGTGTTTGATGATTGATTTTCTGTTGGACTCATGCTAGACTCTGTGCGATGTTTCACTCTCTCGTTTGAATTATCCTCACTAAGGCGAAGCATCCATTCATCCCAAGCTCTTTCCTCGGCCTCATGCCTTTGTGCACTTTGCTCCATCCAAAACAACAAGGCAACACATTCGTTGAAAACCCACTCTTGCTCAGGAGTACGCTTGATCTTGTGAGTAATTGGATCCGTAACTCCCTCGTCTAATTGGCGTTTTTAGTCTGATTCATTTCTAGGCCATTTACGACTTTGAAAAACGGAAAAATACTTACTCCCTAAAGCACAACTCTTTCTAACAGAAGCATATTCCTTTGCAAGTTTTGCATCCTTTGCGATATCCAACCCATGAGATACTGGATCGACATCGCTATCACAACGTAAGCTTTTGGGACCAAGAAATGCCCAGAAATGTCTTGTGCTAACATTGAAGTCTCTTCAGATCCATATTTTCCCTCGTGAGTTGGAGTGGCCTCATCTACATGCCATTCGCGCGAAGCAAAGTAAGAGCTAACGCGAAGAGTAAGAAGGACAACTATTGAAAACAGTATCAGTAAAGATCGCATCATTAAGATTGATTGAAGTAACTCCGATAGAATCCAACGTTCATCAAGAGCGCGCATCTCGCTAGCCATTCGATACAAAGAGAACGATATGTTGAGGATTGAATACTACACAATGAAGCCAAACAAAGTACGGAAACAGCAGTTTCGTTTCAAACGCACGGAAACCACGGAAATTATTAATGTCGCTTACATAACTTTTCCGCGAACATCAAATTCTTTATGTTCCATGCATTCATTCTTTGAAAACGAGGAAGCAACATGTGAGTTCCTAACTCACGGTGCAAAAGTCTGTTTATCATATCACTTTTGCCACTCATTTCGTTTTTGGGGAGCAAGCTTCTGTCATACACTTGACATCTGTGATCGTTCAAGCAACGAAAAGATGTGTTATTAACCTATAATTCTGACCCATGTAATACAATTATCTCGTTGATGGTCTAGGTAGTCATGGGATTGTAAAATAAATTGTTCAAAGAAAGTCATACCGACGTGAAATACAATCAAGAAAGGACACCTTGAAACAATCAAATTGATCAGACAACGCAAAATGACCTTCGATTATCATAATTGACCTAAAGTAGCATAGCAGTCTTGGTAAAATGTGAGCTTCCGCCTCCTTTATGAATAATAATTCAATGTTTGACTCCATCGTGGTAATTATATCTCTAAGCGAAGATACATGTGCCACTAATATAAGCACGCAATACTTCTTAAACGATTTTTCCTTCTTTGCCAAGACTTACTCTTAAAGGGGCTTTTTAATTCCGGAGATACTCGCTTCTCATCGCTATGTCTGGAAAGTGCATGAAGAGGAAGAACCAAAAGAGTCACCGGTACGGACTATCTCAAACATGCCGACGTAGGCGTAAAAATAGATCAATGTTTGCGACCGAAACATGATGACAAAGTTTTTGTAGAATTATGCAGAAGTTCTGAGCTCAAGAGACCTCTCATCATGGCTGTAGTAAACTTCACTATCTGGAGGAGAGAAATTATTTGCATCTCGAATAAATTTCACCAGTGGTATCCACATCAACCTCATGACCGTCAAAGCGGTTCTGAAGCAAATCGTATAAACACATGTGAAAACGACGGCAAGAGACCGAGTTACGGCGGATAAATACGTCATCTGTTGTGGGTTTTTGCGGCCACGATTAAACAAATTTCCCGCAGAGCAACCTGGTACTCCGTCGATTATCCTTGAGAATGATGAAAGTGTTCAATCACAAAGATGATTTTGTCTTTCGAGACTATATTCTCTTCTCTTCTCTTCTCTTTCTTAACTACTGCCTTGAATATCTGTCAAGAACTTGAGATTCATTTTTTTCTAAAATAAGTTCCATTCTCATGTTGCACCAAAACAATTCAAGATTTTCTTTTCCTATTTCTACTCGGCTACTTTGACAACAAGTTGAATATCCCTGTTTCATTATTTTTTGTAGTTATGATATTGAAAGAAGTTCAACCACATCTCCTCTTGGATTTGATAGTATTTTGACTTGGTATAGTGCATGATCACCTAGTTTCTTCACTTTGTAGAGAAATGTTGTAGGGCGCCCTTAGCACCAAAGCTAGCCCCCTAGCTACCACTAGTAAGGCAACCAATGACACAGAGGCCACACTTTTTAAATTTCTTCAATCATATATAGAATCCATCATCACACTGAAAATCTGTTTCATTTTAAGAGTGATATATCATCGCATGCTTAGGAGCCAGTTCATCGCATCTTAACATGCTATATCTGGACCAAACATCCGCTTCATCATTGTTATCCATGCAAAATTTTCACGGTGATTTCCAAACCTCTTTTCAAAGATGAGACACTATGGATCTCCATAGTATTGTACATTTTGGTGTCAACGGTAACAGGTATTATTATTTGTCGGGCAGCTTGCTCTCGACGACGAAGACGTAATGAATTCATGGATGAAGAACGAGCCATCGATTCTGAAGGGACTGTCAGCAGTTCCGGGTCCATGGTTGAGAGGTCATTACGGGGAATGATTGTGGTACAGCAAACAACGAAGCTCAAATTAGATGATGTCGTTGAGGTCATATATCGGGAGATATCTATGTTCTTGAGAGCTCATACTCAAGTCCTAGAAGCAGAGTGTCAAAATTTCAAGTGCCGATACTAATTGGAGACTACGCTTCTTCCATATGATTGGTGTCAAAAATGCAGCCCTTCTTCAGACCCTACCCTTTTCTGGTGAGGTTCAATGTCACCTAGGCTACGCAACGGGTACCCGCGGGACGGATAATGATCTCAATAGATAATCTACAGATAATCCATCTGTGGAATAAATAATTCAAAAATCTGAATAAATAATTTAAAAAACAAATATAAATTATTTATAAATATCCATCTATCTATATATTATATAATTATTTATAATCTTTTATAATATTAATATAATTTTATAATTAGTATAAAAATTAATATAAATCTAAGCTTAAATCACTTTTGGGCTGAAAAATAATTTGAGAATAGCTTTATATTTTAAACAAATCTCCACTTTTTTCAAAGAATTTATATATCCATGGATTATTTACAGATAATCTGCAAATTATCCATATACCTATAGATAATCCGTAAATAATCCGCAAATAATCCATTTATCTATATACCTGTAAATTATTTGCAGATAATTTATAGATTACTTATACAAAACAGGTAATTTTAAAGTTTCGATAGATAATTTATGGAATGGGTAGAACCTCTAACGAATAACCTGTGGAGCAGATTATTCGCAGATAATCCACGGGTACAGATAATTTGTGCGCAGCCTAATATCACCAATGCGAATGGGGGCACTTCTGCGATAACTGTCTTCTGGAGAGCTTTCGTTTTTTCATTCCTGTTATGAATGTGCTTTGTCTTAATGTGCAGAGATTGATTTTTAATATCATGACAGACAGCCAAGCGCAGGCTGTAAACATATTCGAAAGGAAGGTCCGTGAGTTTTTCAAGGGAGAACTTCGAAATTTGAGATGTGTTACGACACTGGTGGTTGTCGATTTGATAGTAGATAGCTACGAACTACCAGATGGTGATATCGGAAGTATCTCAACTGTTCAACTCGCAGAGCCAACGGTCCGTTATTTCTGAAAAAGAGCTTCTTGATCGGTCAATAGCTGGAGGGCATACATCTACGAGAGATTTATTTAGAGGTATGATTTTTGGAGCTTGATCTTGGGAACTTTATAGATACGTGTAGCTTTTGAGTCGGGTTTGAATTGTCCATGTGGGGGTGGACACATATGGATGTAATTGGACAACTTTTGGGATGTACGTTCGGAATCATAGTTGAGGGTTGAGATGAAGGGTACTAACTACGTAGATAGTGGTGCAATAAGTACCTAGTCATCTATGAATTTGATTATGCATACATGAATCATGACATCCTTATATGATCCGAAAATTTAAAGACATCTCAAATGACGATGTTGACATTGACTTAAAAGTGATAGACAATGATTATTGATATTTGAGAATCATCTGACGAATGATTTCATTTGAATTGCATTCTTGTTGAAGAGTGTAATATGGTGTCCCATCAAAACCAGACTTGATACTCGAAGAGGCAGCAGAATGTCTGGGCACCTCTTTTTTATGTGCACGTCGCGATACAACAATCCACTGTTCTCTAATTGCAAAACTGATACAGGGCTGGTCAAATATAAGTACGAAACAAGTTGACTGACAACTGCCAGGGCTTTTGAGGGAGACGAAAAGACGTAGTTGAAGGGGGTATGGCTAGAACATGGCAATCGAACTGCAGCAAAGCAAATGTATTCAAAAGGGCATGAAAATTCGTTTATTGACTGATTACTTGACCACTGGCAGATCTGTCTCATCAACTAGATGTGTTTATTAAGCTTATGGGAATGAAGTTTTCATGACAGCATGGTGGTTGGTATAAGAATAAGACACATGTTGAAGATTTGGAAGCTTTTTAAGTCTATTGAGTAGGCAGACTTCTGGAGACTCTGATGTTACCAATGATTCTCAAGTATACTTCTTTGGGTGTCTACTTCGATCATCTGAGGTACCAAGTACCAGACAATGGATTTTAAGCATACAGATCTTGTGGTGTGTTGGAATGGAACACGCTGTATGTTGGATAGTCAATTGGTACCTGCATTGCCAAGGCAATTGATCAATCGATCAATCAATCTTCATTTGATTGATGTGATGTCCGTTCAAGGTTTGAGATGTTTGTCGAATTGTCAATCAGGGGTCATTTATTTGAGTACCCAGTATTGACCGCCTCATAGTCTTTTGTAAGAGGCTTCGATACCATATGTATTCCCTACACCTCTTCCAACCCTTCCTTTTCTTTGCTCTTCATTTCCTTCTCTTTACTCTTCATTTCCTTCCCTTTCTTCTCTTTCATTCACATTCTTCCGCAATCAATGACAAGCAAACACATGGGAGATATAAAACCTTGGAATACCTAGCACGTACCTACGTAGATGAAGCAACGGCTGCATGGGGTGGCTGGTGCTCATCTAGGTACTTTGTTTTGTGGGTAAAAATTGATTGATGTGCCGCATTTCTGGCCATCTATAACCAATGAAAATGCGGGATAACTTCATGCTTCCAATTTCAATCTCGTATATCCAAGTCATTTATGTACAATGACGTCCATATTGAACAATATCAAAGATCGATCTATCTATCTAGGCAAATACTCCGAACGTCCAAATTCATGCCATCTTTTTCTTCTCCCTCAATGCCTTGGAACCCTTCCCTCCCCCCTCCCCCCAAAAAGCCATGACCTTTTCACGACCTTTTCGACCAATGGTGGGTTGCGAAGAATGATGAAGTTCAAATCCTTCCACCTTTAAATCCTGCAGCCGCGACCGATTTATAAGTTGTGATTCTGGTGTTGCTGTTGTTACTATTGTTACTGTTGTTACTGTCGTTTGAAGATATTTCCTACTTCATCTTCGTCTTCTTGCTGTCGTTTGATCCTAAATATACATATTTTCGAATTGTGTATACATCTTTTTCTTTTAGGATCTTATTAACTCGATTGGAGTGGTTGGTGAGGTGAATTATCTCCATCTGCCATTGGGATTTTATCAAATCTTTACACCTCCAGACCAGCAGTTTACACTCAAAAACCCCATACTTTGAACAACAACCATGGTTACCACACTCGCTCAACTGCTTCTTGCACTTACTCCAGTGGCTTTGGCATTGCCAGCGCCACATCCAGTAGCTCAACCCGTTCCTCATCCTATGATAACTCCACGAGCCTCTTTGACCGATAGAACACCATCGCGAGTTCTTCTAGAAGAAAGAGGAGTGATTAGTTCAGTCGAATCATCCATCAAAGGTCTAGAAAGTTATATTACCAGTGTTCTCGGCACTTATCCTTCATACATTGCTAGCGGGGTCCCCAATTTCTTCCAGGATTTTCCAACAGGAAGTGCGGTTCAAAGTAGTTTAGGAATTAGTGATAGTGACTTGGAAGCAACGCCCACACAAGTCTTGAATATCCCGTAAGTTTGATCTCCTTCTCCCCCATTGTATCTTTATTGCAAAAAGAAAAAAGAAAGAAAAAAAAAAAGAAGAGAAAAAAGACCACTCATTGATTATCAAACAGAGGATATGCGAATTGGACTGATCAAGGCTGGAACCTCCGTGTCCATGGAAATGTCTTCAAACAACCAAACATTTCCGAATCCAAGCTGGACGATTTAGCAAATATCTTCCTGGTCGGTACCTCAATCGAAGATCTTCCCGCGGCCCAACAAACTCAAGCCCGAAACCTCACGGCCGAAATCTTCGTCATACAACAAGCACATGTTAATGTTTCATTCAGCTTGGAGCCTGCTGCGTCTCAAGGTGGTGATGGACAGAGTGGCGGTGGTGGAGCGGTAACCGCAGGTGGAGGAGCCCAAAATATCACACTTGTGGGACAAACAACCGTGGAGGGTGACTATGATCAATTTATCCAAATTGCCAACGTTTCAGGACCTGGTGGATATCTTGCTCCTGGGAACGACACAACCGACATTCAAAGAATCAATGTTTACACCGATGGCACACTGACCGGAAATGCAACATCCTACCTCGTCCCTGAGTCTGGTATTACCATTATCTCCGACATTGATGACATTCTTCGTGTTACAAAGATTTACGAGCCAGAGGAAGGTCTTCTCAACTCTTTTGCTAGACCATTCACTCAATGGATGAACATGCCCGATATTTACGCCAATTGGTCTCGCACCATCCCTAACTTTCACTTCCATTACTTAACCACTACCCCAGAGCAAGTTACAAGAAACTACATGCAATTTATTTACGACACCTATCCAGGAGGATCTTTCGATACTCGACCCCTTAACTTCTCAGATGTATCTGCAACACTCTCTATCCGAAAGTATCTTCTTACCAAGATCTTTGAGACCTATCCCAACCGTAAATTCATTTTGATGGCCGATACTTCTAACTCTGATGTTATGAAGGATTATCCCGAGATGGCTACCGATTTTCCAGGACAAGTCCAATGTATTTTCCTCCGCAACACATCTGCAACTGACAGTGGAGACAAATTCCCATACGAGACATCGGGTTTCCAAAATTTGAATCAGTCACAATACATGTTCTTTTTGGTACCAGATGATCTCACGAACCTTGATATTGTCAATGGACAATGTTACAACTCTACTATTCCGCAAAACGTCACATTCAGCCTGCAAGGACTACCATTCGGATTGAGCAAGAGCGGTGCGGGAAAGAGCATGGCTATTGGACGGGGTTTGGTTTGGGCAGCTATGGTCGGAGCTTTTATGCTCGCCTTGTAAGAATGACATGAGATAGATGAGATTATGCATTGGATACGATTCGGCGTTCGGATTGTTGGATTTTTATGGGGGGATCAAGATTCACAAAATACCTTTATAATGTATAGATGATTCATTCTTGCTGAATTGTACTTTCAATGCTGCGAATTCGTGAATTTTAATGTCCATGTTTGATATAATACTTTTTGAGATCTACTCGGCGAAATAATCAAAGATGTATAATATAAACTAAAAACATTTATAACTTTATTATTTTTGAATAAAATAAGCTATAACTGATATATATAATCAATGGATATAATAATTATAGTACATAAAAGTTTCTAAAAAATTAAAATTAAAATGATTAAAATAAAAGCAATTAAACCTATTAAATTTACTTAAAAAGTATTTATTCATAAATACTTTTTCGATCTTTAATAATTCAATTGATCTAATACTTTTGATATCGAAATTTGAATATATTATTAAATAAAAATCTTACTTTTTAATGTATATATTTTTATAAAGATTTATTTATAATTGAAAGAATAATTTATATTTGAAAAAAAAAAAAAATTATTTTTGAAAGAGTAAATTCGTTTATTTTCAAAAACATTAAAGATATTAAGTATAAAAATTAGAAAATTTAATTCATTTATTTAACTTCAATCTTAAATAACCTTTTTATTTTAAAGAATTAAAAGAATTTTTTGTATATAATAAGATATTATTTAATTCTCAATTAGATTTTAATATATAAAAATAAATTATTTAAAATTGATAAAGATAAATAGAATTTAAAATGTATTAACGTAACGTATGGGGAACTCGGACATATGGGGAACTCGGACACTTTTAGCCCATCACCAACTTGAAACCGCAATAACTTTTATTATGCATACCCAATCACCTTCTACATCTGCTCAAATTGAAGAGAAGCTTCAAAAGGCTATAATTTCACTTCAATTGAAAGAATTTAAATCAATTAGAAAGGCTGCAGAGCATTTTGAAGTCCCTAAGTCTACCCTAGCTGATAGGCTGGCTGGGAAGAAAACACGTTCCCAAACCCACGAAATGGCTCAAATTCTTTCAAACGCAGAAGAAAATACTCTTGTACGATGGATTTCACGACTTACCATCACTGGATTCCCTGCTACACCTATGTTGGTGAAGGAAATGGCCGACGAAATTCGTCTTCGACGCGTTCGGGTCGCGTCATCTCGAAATCCTACCTCGACAGAAATTCCACCTATAGGCCACGAATGGATCTATAGATTCCAAAAACGACATCCAGAACTTAAAACATGCTATTCACGTCAATTAGAGTCTAATCGGGCTAAAGAAGCAACTCCGGAGAATATTCAGGCTTGGTTTGACGCGTTTCGCACGCGTCTCATTGAGCGAAAGTATGAATTAGATGATATGTATAATATGGATGAAACCGGATTTGGAGTTGGAAGTACTCAAAGTACGCGCATTATAGTCGATTCTACTCAGAAATCGAATTGGAAAGTTACAGCTGGCAAGCAAGAATGGATAACTGCATTTGAATGTGTCAATGCAGCTGGAAATGCTCTATCACCTATGGTCATTTTCAAGGCTCAGAATACGAATTCTGCATGGATTCCAAAGGACACACCTCAAAGCTGGCAGTTCTCTACTAGTACAAATGGATGGACCTCAAATAGCCATGGATTAGAATGGTTAAAAAGGGTTTTCGAACCAGAATCCAAGAAAGTGTCAGGTGACCGACCTCGACTTTTGATCATGGATGGCCATTCAAGCCATATTACAGGTAGCTTTATTGCTTTCTGTATAGATAATGATATTGATTTACTTATATTACCTCCTCATTGCTCTCACTTGCTTCAGCCACTTGATATTGCGGTGTATGGGCCAATGAAACGATATCATGCTTTAGAGGTCGATCGATATTCTCGAGCTGGTGTAAAGCGAATCCAAAGAGCTGAATGGGTAGAACTCTTTCAAAATATTAGAAAAAAAGCATTGAATTCTTCTAATATTAAAGCTGGCTGGAGAGGAGCTGGTTTAGTACCTTTTGCCCCACGAAAAGTACTCGATTCATTACCATTTAACTCCTCCCAGCAACCTTCTACTCCACAAATGAGAACCCCCAATCAAGACCTAGACTTGTCTATACTCAGGAGTTCTCCTCCAGATGGAACAGAACTAAGGCAAGCAAATCAGATCTTTAATACAGCTCTAGCAAGCAGTGGTTCTCCTGCATCGCCAACTCGTCGATATGCCAAGAGAATGACTAGGCTTGTAGAATCTCAAAATGCTGAGATAGCCCTACTTCGGAAACAGCTCTCTGATGCTCAGGAGGTAATTGAGACTCGAAAGAAAAGAACTAAAGGCAAAAGAGTCAAATTACAAGGTCAATTTGTCTTTAGTACTAAGGAAGTATTGAAAATGGTACGTGAGGCGGAGGAAAAACCGAAGGAGAAAAAGCCACGAGGACGGCCACGCAAACGCCCAATTGAAGAATCAGAAGAAGAGATTGAAGAAGAAGAAGAGCTAGAGAATAGTTCAAGTGATTCGGAATTGGAATTGGAGGATTGTGTGGCTCGTAGAACAAGATCGCGTGTAGAATAATTGAAAAAGTGTCCGAGTTCCCCATATGTCCGAGTTCCCCATACGTTACGTTATGAAATTGTGCTTATTTTTATTAATTTATTAATTTTAATATATTATATCTTTTTCATTTTTTATTCAAATCTTACAAAACTTTGTTTTTATATAGAAAATATATATATAAATTACTATATAATATTTTATTGAATTAAAATAAAATTTATAGAAGTTATATTCAATTTTAGTTTATATTATACATCTTTAATTATTTCGCCGAGTATGTACAAGAATAAACATCTCTATTTTGCATTTTTATTATTGTTTTATAGTTACCATATCATCTAGCGACATGTGACCGTTATCTCACTATATATCATTTCCGGTCCCTATATAAAGATCCAGCCAAGTGTTATCAGCTCAGCTGTATGTCGATTTATGCACATTTAGATCTTTGTGTTCAACGACAGAACAAATACCCTGACTGCTGACTAACCATACCCAATCGTTCATTCATTTCATCCATCAAGTATAAATCCCATCATGGATTCCAATTACTTCCCAGCCCTTTCCCTCCCAATTCCAAAGCGAGTAAAGCAAAATGACCACCAACAGTGGGTCTAGCGCTCAACGCTTCTTCAATTCCTTCCTCCGTACTTCCATCCACTTTGACTGTCCATCTATCACTCAGAGGCCAACTATTCTTTCCGTTGCTAATGAAAGCCCAAATATCATCAACAAACGATTGTCTCACCGCTCCTGTTGTTGTACCTGCAGTCCAAATATTCCAGTCGGATTTCGCCCATGCCTGACGAGAGTCAAGAGCTACTCCGCCATCAGACCGAATGGTTGGATAGTAGTTCTCTTGCATGGTATATGCTGCGTCTGGGAAGGTTGACAAATCGAGCAAAAGGTCCGGGTAGAGATTGAAGGGGATTTTCCAGGAATTGTCATTATCTGGGTAATTGAGTACGAAATGTGTTTGATCCGCATCAGTTCCTAATTTATCTGTGTATATTTGGGTGGCATGCGCATCTCCGATGGTCGAATAATTCGAATAGGTCTCACCGGCTAGAGAAGCAAAAGCTTTCAGACTAACTGCTGCTTTGATTGCGAGGTTGGTTTCATTAGCGAGGGGTCCGGCAGCATCGTTGGTAGAGAGTTGAAGAGTGATATTGATGGAAGTTGACGGGAGATATGACGCGTATCTATTGAGAAGTGGGTAGTATTTCTCTGCCCAAGCTGTGTTATTGGACGCTTTCTGGTAAGCGAGAGCGAGTATCAGTAGATTTCCGGTTTCTTCTATTGGCATTACTTCTGCAACGCCATTATCATGGCCGGTGGCATTGGGATAGGCGGAACCAATGTCGTGAATTACATAAGGAAGAGTACAACGACCGGAAGCGAGATATTGTAGTATTGGTTCAAGGAGGAGACGTAAATATTCTGGGTTTGTAACATACAGAACCGGGAATAAGGGCATGATTACATCCACGGTGTTAACGTTCCCATCACTTAAAATTTCCTTGACGAATGCGAGGACGTCGTTGGTATCCAGTGTAGCATTTGGAATCACCAAATCAATTCCTCCATATACCTGTCTTAATGACAAGGTTGTGATATCCGAGTAATTTGTACCAGCGACTTGAGTTGCAGCTGCAGACAATTCAGAATCGATGGTTTGAGACTCAACAAATGCATTGTCATAATCTTCAAAGAAATGTTCCAAGGCGTCAATAGTTTTTGGATATGTCGCACGATAATATCCAATGTATGGTGTTCCTAAATAATTAACTGCAGCTTCTCTTACATATCCGATAGCGTAGGTAACAGAGGATGGTCCTGTGACACTTCCCAAATCGTGGGAGATTCCTGTGACTCCATCTACTAACCAGGCACCCAGAGCCCCGGAGAGGGCTCCTGTTTCTGAAAAGACTTTGCGGACAGCGGTCCTATCACCCGATTCACAAGTAAGAGTAGAAGTGGATGAGGGCTGAGATGAATAGATGGCTTCACCCCATAATGCTTGATCTGAGGCCTCTGAGTATGTGGCTCGGTTGTTGGCTTTGATTGAAAATGCTGAGGTGGTGTTTTGTTTCGTGAATGTCCAAAATGAGGATGCAGTCTGGCCAGTCCAAGTACCACTGATATCTGAATATATCTGAATATTGGTTGCGGCAGTAGTCTCAGCAGATATTGTCAAGTAACCTATCTAAACATCAACAAAAGTATCAATGTCAAAGTTCAGGAGGCATATGAAGGTCACGTTTAATGGAACTTACTGAAGGGAAGGGACTGTCTCAAATAATTCCCAGTGCTGACGGGAGAAAAGAAGTCCAAGCTGAAAGTTACAATCCCAGCCGTTAAATTAAAAATCGAATGTGTAGAGGTATATTTCGCCGACGTTGTAGACCCATCTCTTGTTCCAGCTCCTGGAGAAGCTACCCCGAAAAGATTCCACGTAACGTTATCCACGCGTGCAATTACGCTCCATATCAAATTTTGGCCTGCCCAGAATTGTGCATTTCCAGAACTAACGTTGGTGGCGAGGGAACTCGGGATCCAGGCCGAAAGATAAGGATTCCTCACTGCAAGAGGATATGAAGGAGGCTGAATAGGTTCATGGAAAAAAGTTGCGGATGTATCTCGGTGGTGGTGATGTTGTTGTTGAGCCTTAGTGACTGGGATAAAAACAGCCAGGAAAATGAATAAGGCACCTATCACAACAAGAGCTCCCCTCCGACAATACATAAATAACATGGCTTTCCGATTGGAATCCAGTAACTCCTTCTTTTGAGATTCTGACAAATTATCAGAGGAAGTGATTGAATCGTCAGATATCCCACATTCAGGAGGAGTAGGTCTGCTCTCGGCGAACGTTTTGTAGTTTATCCTTCCCATGGTGAACGTTTGGATGATGTTGTATCACGCTCGTATTGCGAATGTGATTATCTGCAGAAAAGTGACTTGCTAATCTGCAGCAATACGTCGCCTACCGAATATAGGTGTATGCAGATGAATGAATGAATCAGAAATGCAGAAGCTCTGAAGTTTTGTTGCAAACATACTCCTGTGACATAGTTTAGAAGAATGTTGTGGCACAGTGCTGGTGTATCCCGCTCGCTATGTTCCTAAGAACCTAGTAGTTCAAGATCTACTCACTAAGTCGAGTACCCTACTTTCTGACCACCCCTCTTTTGGGCCATCTTTCACCATCAAAATTAACAAAAAAAAACTTTTTTATTTATGAATAGAATTTATTGAAAATTTATATATATATATATAACTCAGATCATTTTAAGCTTATTCTGAAAATTTTAGATTTTTAGGATTTTTCCAAATGAAGATCTAAAGCTTTAAAATATTGATTTTATAATTTGTATAAGAATCATATATAAATTTTACTTTTTTAAAAAAAGTTTTATAACTTTTCAATAAAAATTATTAAAAACAAATTATAAATTTTCATTATAAATTTATATTGTTTATAATATAAAAGATTTTAGTTTTTTAGAAAAACTTTAATATATAAGTATTTATAAAAATACTCTCGAAATTATAGGGATTATTTTTCTCTATTTAAATTATATTTCTATAATTATTAATTTTTTGATTTTTTTAAACCTTCATATAGATTCAAACTCAAACCCCTTAAAAAACTAACTAAATTCTTTTTATTAATTATAATTAAAAAGTTATTAAAGATTTAAAAATAATTTTAAATTTATATATAATTCTTATATAAATTAAGTCGGGTACCTATTACAGGAGCTACCTCTAGGGTTATGTGGAAGTGTCTAGAGATCTCTCGAGATAATTTAAATTAAACTTTAAATAGGAATTCAATAAGGTTATAATTGATTGTAATTCTTGTAATTATAATAATGAAACTAATGATTGTTCTCTTGAACACGAAGCTCTATATTATAATGAAACCTATTCCCTTATATAGACCTTCGTTCTTTGTTGTTCTATTGATCCTATTGTGTTCCATCAGGTGGGAGTAGTGGGATCCAGTGGGAGTCCCTAATCCCGTGACTTTCTGATCATGTGATGCGGTATGTTAGATGCCGTCGTAACAGTACCCTACTTTCGGGCCACCCCTGTTTTGGGCCACTCTTTACCACCAAAAATCTCAAAAAATGGAATTTTTAAATTTCTTATTTATAAATAGAATTTATTGAAAATTTGTATATATATAATTCAGAACGTTTTGAATCGAATCTGAAATTTTTAGATTTTTAGGATTTTTCTATATTAAAATCTAAAGCTTTAAAAAATCGATTTTTTAATTTATATAAGAATCATATATAAATCTAGAACTTTTATAAAATCTTTAATAACTTTTTAATAATAATTATTAAAAGAGAACTATATATCTTTTTGAAAGTTTTTATTGTAGGTTATGCGCTTAGCAGGGGATTGACTAGACTGGATTGGGAATAGTACTGTAATAGTACTATATGGGAAGCTTACAATCATCTAGTCATCGGTTAATCTTTAAAAAAAAGAAATCATTCAACTACTGAAACGATCACGAATCAACTACATCTAAGGGCCTCACAGGAGGCTCCCCTATGCCGCTAGTGATGCGCGCCCCCGGCGCGCCGAGCGGCTCCCTAACCCAAGAGGTGATCCCCCCTCAATCAAGTACCATTACCCCAGGGGCAAGCATTGCCCCTCCACCAATTATAAGATCGCTCACAGGCTCTGCCCTTGGCGTAATTAAGGATCGATTCGAAAGGATCGATAAGACAGAACGGGAGAAGCGAGAGGTGATCGAGGCGTTCGCAGCACTAGCGGATAAGCTTGCACAAGGCTTCCAGGGTCAACAACATAGACTCGCAGTGAATATTAAAGGGACGATCATCTCCACACTGCTGGGAGCAGCAAAGGCTACTTCTGATCAATGGATAGGGCTCACAACAGAGCATTCACGAACAGAAAGCAATAAGCAGAAGACCTACACTGATGCACTGAAAACTCGGATAGTGCCTGAGGCAGAAAGCCCCACTAAGGCCCCCACCAACACAGGACGCCCTGCTCCTATTGGAGGAGCGAACACTGAGCGTATAGAAGCACGCAGACTCAAGAGGGAGAATGACCGGATCGAGAAAACGATCCTTATAATAGCTAATGGGGAAGCTCTGCTCTCAGAGACAAATCCCTTCCTACTAAGACTCAGAATAAAAGAGGCAGTTACTGGACTCACATTAGCAGAGATCCCCTTCCTTCAAAGGAATAATACGGGCTGGACTCTACGATGCAGCTCTAGCGCCAGCCGGGAGAAGATCATGAAAGCAGATAACTCTGAGCGGGTGCTTAAGACCCTTCATGCAACAAGCATGCGCAGACTAGAGAAGTGGTTCATGTATGCAGTCCCACAAGTACCTCACGATTTTTATCACATCGAAGGAGCTCCTGCTCCTATGCCTACTGAGCTTATCAAAGAAGAGATCACAGCTCAGACCGGCAAGCAGCCGGTCAACTACCGACTGGCACGTAGCGGGGTTAACCCGATCACTAAAAGAGCCACCTGGATCATTGGCTTCAATACTGCAGTATCGCGGTTCCGACTATTCAATAGTAGCTCCTACTCGGTTCTCCTAGACAAACCCCGGGAAATTCAACTTCACAGTACTGGCTGCCTAGGGTACTGCAACCCCTTCACCTGCAACAGAGCCTCACGATGCTCGACATGCGGTAAACTAAACACTGAGCACGAGGGTGCACTCGTACACCAACAATGTACTAGAGCAGCTCAATGCGCCAACTGCCACGGACCCTTCCGCGCTGGCACTCCAACTGCCTAGCTGCCCCTAGGGTCTATGCTAAGCGACGGATCGTTCTGACCGCAAAGGAACTGGCCGCAGTCAGAGCTGTCGGCAGAAAAGACTACGAGACGCTGCACAGAGCAGATATAGACGAGGCAGAACATACCTCTGAATCACCTCTGTCTCCTATCGTAACAACCGCAGAAACCCCGATCACTTCGGGGGCGAGGATCATAGCATATGAGAATGAGCGCCTCAGCAAGCGCCCACGCAGGCTCAGTACAAGTCTGCCGATCGCACCAACCGGATTACGCACACGCTCAGCTCGTAACCAGAGCCAACGGAATCTCAATATAGAAGCGCTAGCAGAGAAAGCCTTCACTCCAATAGACCTGGAGATGATCGATACAGAAAACTCTATAACAGTTGCCACTGCACCTAGACCCTCTCTATGAGTGATGCAATCAATGGGTACACTCAAAGAAACAAAGGCCTCACTATCGCTTGGGCGAACGCAGGCCGGGGACACGCGAATCATATCACACTACTACAATTAGCAGCGGAGGCTCAATTAGATGTGATCTGTATACAGGAGCCAAGACTATACTGGAATTCAACAACACAAAATCACAACGCATACGATCGATATCAGCCGACCGACAACTGGAACCTCCGAGGAGACTTGGAGGAGAACGAGCAAGGCCCTAGGGTCATGACATATATACGAAAAAGCGCGAACCTGAAAGTAGAGCAAATGAGTCGACTCGGAAACAGAGACCTACTCTGGATACGAGTCAATGGATACTCGATCCTGAATGTCTATAGAGCTCCGTGCACTTTGGATATTATTAATTACATTACACACCTGGTTCCAAATGAGCGTACAGTCGTAGGAGGGGACTTTAATGCAAAGCACGATCTGTGGGAACCGGGGGTGATCACAGCCAACCAGGGGGCACAGCTCGCAACATGGGCAGACGAGCAGGGCATGGAGTTTATAGGTACTCCAGGCATACCCACTCACGCAAGAGGGCACGTGATAGACCTGACCTTCTCCAACATACCGTTCGCTTATACAGAGGTACTGGAAGAACTCCATTGTGGATCTGATCATGCTACCCAGGTCACTACTCTGACGAATCGTGGAACAACAGAGTGGGATCAGTATCGCTATCGGATAAAGGAAGTGGATCTGCCTAGATTAGATGGACTAATGGCCAACCAGCTAGCTCACCTCAATGATGTAGACATTCAGACTACAACTGAGATTGAAACCCACGTCAGTGAGCTGGCGAATGCGTTAGAAAAAGCGATCCGAGCAATCGGCAAGATTGATCGGAAGGTAGGAAAAGCCTCGCCGTGGTGGACGGACGAGTGCAGAGAAGCCCACCGAGCACACATAGAAGCACGGAGGGGATCAGACCCGGAAAGGAAGACTAATGCTACTCATCTCTTACAAAAGGTAGTGCGACAAGCCAAGAGATCCTACTGGGCAATGCGTCTCGACGGAGTCAAAGACGACAAAGAACTCTATCGGGTTATGGGATGGCACAAATTAACCCCCGAAAGTAATGCGAAATCCCCCTCCCTAATAATCGGCGAGCGGGTGATCTGCGATACAAAAGAGAAGGCAGATGCTTTATTCACAGCGGTTCTGGATCGTTTCAGGGCAGACGACGACCTACCAAACGATCCGCTGCTCAATCAAGCACACAAAGGGATACTCCCCTGGAAAAGAACGATCTCTGCAGAAGAAGTGGAAAAACATGTCATAGGAGCTACTTGCACTGCGCCTGGAGTGGATCGAGCCACTGTGCGCATCCTCAAGGCATGCTGGCCGAGCGTCAAATCACTGATCCGGGAGATATTTGCATCTTGCCTAGCTCTAAACTACTATCCAGAAGGTTGGAAGCTAGCGGAAGTAGTAATGATCCCTAAGGTGGGCAAGAAAGACAAAACGTCACCGCGGTCGTGGCGACCGATAGCCCTGATCTCCTGTATCGGTAAGGGGCTCGAACGGTATATAGCTAGTCAAATATCCTGGACAGCCCTGAGACACAAGGTAATCAGCCCGCAGCACTGCGGAGCGCTCCCCAGAAGATCAGGTACTGATCTAACGGCGGCTTT